AAAAAAAAAAAAAAAAAAAAAAAAAACCTTGAGGTGCACGCACTACGTAAATAAATTGATAAACAAACAAAATATTCCTATTCGCTTAGCAAAAATGAAATAGAAAATATTCTACTATCTGCATATTTTTTCCAGCCCACCTGCACGGCTGACTTATCGTTCATCTCTCTCTGAGCCGCTGAGGTGTAAAAGTTCGAGCTTTCTTTGTTCGTTAATGCCGGAGATTGTGTACCGCAACCCAGCTGGAATTTTTTCCTTCTTTTCCTATTCCTGGTTTGTCCATTTTCCATAATATATCTTCTATTTCCCTCCTCAGTCTCACCAATGTTTTTATTTTATTTTATTGATTTATCTTTTGGTTTTCGTCATCCTCTACCCATGACTCGTAAATACTCAAAGATAATCTTCTCACCCTCTCATTAGCTATTCAAGTCGTTTTTGTAATAACTCAAATCCTGTATTTTGTTCGAGCATCCAATTTCTTTGCACTTTTGAAGTCTCATCTCTACTTGTGAAGTTTACTGTGTTTGATTGAAAGTTCCTCTTTTCTGTATATGCATGAATGATTAATGTGTGAATCCTTGTTACTGAGAATACCCATTTGTTAGTTTAATGTATACTGCTCATCAATTTGTTTAAATTGAAAACCCCTTCATTCTACATGTAAGAGATTTTTATGTTTGCTTTGAGATTGATGCCAACAAAAAATTGAAATTAATATTATTGTGTTGAAAACTTGCACTAAATGCAGAAACTGAGGACCACAGAGAATAGGCAAGGTTCCATTGCAATGGGAGAGTGCAATGGTGATCGATATGTTTCAGTGGGTGAAGTGGATTCCCCTAGGGTAGATAACTTCAAGAAGGTCTCACTTCTGCCCCTTGTCTTCCTCATCTTCTATGAGGTTTCTGGGGGACCATTTGGTGTTGAGGATAGTGTCCAGGCTGCTGGCCCCCTTCTAGCCCTTCTCGGATTCTTGGTCTTTCCACTCATTTGGAGTGTTCCTGAGGCCTTAATTACCGCAGAGATGGGTACCATGTTCCCTGAGGCTGGCGGTTATGTAGTTTGGGTTTCGTCGGCTTTGGGTCCCTATTGGGGGTTCCAGCAGGGCTGGATGAAATGGCTAAGTGGGGTTATTGATAATGCTCTGTACCCAGTTCTGTTTCTGGACTATTTGAAGTCGGGGATCCCGGCTTTAGGTGGTGGCCTTCCAAGAATCATAGCCGTGTTGGTTTTGACGTTGGTGCTCACTTACATGAACTATAGGGGTTTAGCCATTGTGGGATGGGCTGCTGTTCTTTTAGGGGTTTTCTCACTCACTCCTTTTGTGGTTATGGGACTTGTGGCAATTCCCAAGTTGCAGCCTTCGAGATGGTTAGTGGTAAATCTACACAGTGTGGACTGGAATTTGTATTTGAACACTCTCTTTTGGAATCTGAACTATTGGGACTCGATAAGTACACTTGCCGGGGAGGTAGAAAACCCAAAGAAAACTCTACCAAAGGCTCTGTTTTGTGCCTTGATTTTGGTTGTTGTTGGGTATTTGTTCCCTCTTCTAACTGGTACTGGGGCTGTTCCCCTCAACCGAGAGTTGTGGACTGATGGATACTTCTCAGATATTGCTAAAATTATTGGGGGAGTTTGGTTGAGATGGTGGATCCAAGGGGCTGCGGCAATGTCAAATATGGGGATGTTTGTGGCTGAAATGAGCAGTGACTCCTTCCAACTTCTTGGGATGGCCGAACGAGGCATGCTGCCTGAGTTTTTCGCTAAAAGGTCTCGCTATGGAACCCCAGTGATCGGCATTTTGTTCTCAGCTTCTGGAGTCCTTTTTCTATCTTGGCTGAGCTTTCAAGAGATTGTAGCTGCAGAAAACTTCTTGTACTGTTTTGGAATGATTCTAGAGTTCCTATCATTTATACGTTTAAGAGTGAAGTACCCGGCAGCATCTCGGCCTTACAAGATACCTGTTGGAACAGTTGGAGCCATTCTTTTGTGCATTCCTCCAACCATACTGATTTGTACAGTATTGGCTTTTTCTACTCTCAAGGTGGTGGTTGTGAGCGGCGGAGCCATTATGATCGGCCTTGTGATGCAGCCATGTCTTATGCATGCGGAGAAAAAGAAGTGGATCAAGTTTTCGACCAGCACTGACCTCCCAGATCTTCATGGTGCTAATCAGGGGAGTGTCAACTCCTTAGTAGATTAGTAAGTCCTCAAACATGGAAAGGCAAATGTACTTTCACTACTGTTGTGTTCATCTCCCAAGGCAGAAAGGTTAGCTTTGCTCGTGTTCATGTTGGTGTATCTGATCAAGAAGTTTGTATCTGATAAAAAAGAATCATAGTTTAGTTTGTAAAATAAAAACAACTATCAGGGCCTCCAAAATATGTAAATATAAGATCGAACAAAGCCACATACCAATTTTATTACAAGCAATTTAATGTGAAAATTTTGCGGCTTTAAGCATGTTTAAAGAGGAAATGAATTATTTTTTTTTTTTTTCAAGTTGAAGGTAGAAGATGGATTACTAATGAAAAAAAAAAAATTTATCCCATCTAATCCCCGCAAAATGGTAGGATAAGAATATCTTATAACTAATCCCTCCGAATCCCCTCAAAATGGAAAAATCATTCATCTTTACTTTCATTTCCTCTATCAACATACCTTAGATTTAATATCCAATCCAATCTATTCAATTGAGATTTTAAAAGACTATTTAGGGATAAAAAAGTCTAGTGGATTTAACTAGAATATAATGACTTATAGGATTTTATTTATGAATTTATATAATAAAGATTTTTTACTTAAGAAATTTAAAGATTTCTATAATAGGATTTATAAGATTTGAAAGGACCACATGGATTTTTCTGGGTTCAACATAAGATTTTTTCCGAAGAAAAATACAAAAATAGGAAATAATATTATTTCATCAACTTCTGAACTCTTACTGCCCCGTCCCAGCATCCCACGCTAACATACATGTTTGCCAATTGCACATGGGTAGAACCACACTTTGAATATGTACTGCGCATCTTTGACATCCCCAAGATAAATTATCTTTGCCTTCCAAGATACATTACCTAGTTGTAGTTCTTTCATTAACTAGGTTTTGTCTCTGGTGCCTTTTCAGGGTCCAATTTGCTTAAATTTATGAAGGGCATTCTTGATTATGAAACAACTAAGCAATACTTTTAAAGTGCTCTTAAAGATTTCTTTAGTTGACTTCAACTTTTATGGCTTATTAGTTTGTGACTGTGGGTAGTGACTTGTTTATTGAGATGACAACCCTATCACTAATTGCTGGCAAAGAGCACTTCTGCCATGCCCAAGAGCTCCACTGCCTGTGCAAGCACTCATAATACTTGCATACGTAAAATCATTGGGTTTTGAAGAATGCCTTATCTCACTGAAAAACTGCACACACACATCAACCTGCCACTCTTGTGCAAACCCTGAAATAATGGATGTACACGACACCACATTTCTCACAGGCATTTCATCAAACACCCTATAGGCAGTCTGTAACTCACTGGATGTACCATAAAACTTACCAAAGATCTTCCAATATACACATTGGCAACAGAGCTCATTAATGGTGCAATTAGTTCTGCACCAGCACCAATCTGCTAGCTTTAGGAGAATTTTCAAAACCCAAATTATGCATTTTTGTTTTAGTTTTAACAACTGTTATTGACAATCTAAAAAAATCATCCTGCATTTCAAGGTTTTTGATTAGATTAGATTTGACATGTATATTGATCAAGTGGTTGTGCAATTGTAGAAAGCCATTTCCAACCAACCACCATAGATAACGAAAGAGATGGAAGAAACATTAATACCATGCCATCCTATTCCATTGCACCGGTATCCTGCCCTAGCTAGTTAATGAAGCAGATATAATTATATTGATAAATCAGTATCTGGTCGTAAAAGCTGTCATCGAATAAGGTTGAGATTTTTATTGGTGAATTAGAATCAGAGGAAAACAAACAGAAAAACTTTCTATGTGCCCCTCCATGTCTTCTTTCTTGTCAGCCCACCGCCCCACTGCCCCACCACAGAAAAATCAAAGAACAAAGTTGAGATTTCTATTGGTGAATTGGGGGGTTGAAGGTGATGGAGAATTCACAAGATTTTATTATGCAACAGAGAGGGAGATGGGGAATTGAAGGAAGGTCGTTGCTTACACCCAACAGCAAGTAGCTCTAGGTATTGGTGGTCGAGTCGTCAGGCCAGTGCACAACTGCTTGGTGGAGGTCAAGGTGAGGAAGGAATGAATAAAAAAAGTCCCACGTGAAAATCTGATGGGTTAAGGTGGGATTTGAGATAGGGTTTGGTATTTATATCTCTCACTAAAAAATCTCACACATTCTGCATTTTAAAAAAATCCTTCAAAATTAGCAAGTCTTTGAATACCATAAGACTTTTTGTTACTTGTTTAAAGTCTTGATTGAATACCACCAGATTTGGTAACCCTCTTTAAAAAATCCTAATAGTCTTAATGGAATATCACAAGACTTTTTAGATTACTTAAAAGTCTTAATTGAATACCACAAGACTTATTTATCCCAAAATTGTCTTTTAAAATCCCAATTGAATACACCCCCTAGACACCAAACGAGCCTCGTCATCGTAAGGGAAAAATAAAAAAGAGGTTAGTAAAATCTTTTGAGAGCCGGGGATAAGTTTTTGTCATTAAGCCCAAAATGTGCGAAATAAAAGCCCATATATAGCCACCTGCCAAGGCGCCAAGTCTATGCTCCTAGAAAATTAGAAATTAAAAGACTGAAGGAGAAGAAGATACTCGAGAGACTGAGCAATGAAAAGAGGCGGTGGAAGTGGAAGTCGGAGTCGGAGGTCTTCAGCTGTGAAGTTTCTGGAATCTCCATTGCCGTCTTTGCCAGTAGCTTCTTCTCCTGAAAAGCAAACTACTCCCAAATCGGCGACTTTCAATAACAGCAGCAAGCGCAAGAGGACGACTGTCACTGTCGGAGCAGTCATTGGAGGACCTTCAGCCTCTGTGGCCGCGCTCATGGAATCGCCTCAAACCAATAGTTTGGCTTCGGTTCCTGATCTCAAGCACCTAGCCTCCTCTCGCCTCCGCGATCTCAAGCTTCACATCGATCGCTCTCACTCTGAGATCCTCAAGGATTTCGATTCCTCTAATTCTCGCCTCCACAAGCGGTTCAAGGTCTCTCTCTCTCTGGAATTGATATCCTGTTGTACTTATTTGATACTTATTTGCATGATTGAGTTTCTTGATTGATGAACTGTTGTTTGTTTGGTTACTGAGAAAAATATCAAAGACACAGAATTTAAATTAAATTTTCGCCAAATAATAACAATTTTATGTTCATTTAGTCTTGCTTTGATAATCATTTTAAAGCAGTTAAATCTCATTTCTGTTACAGGGTTTGGTATAACAAATGTAATATAATGGCTTCCTGATTATACGTGGTTACAAGAAAGAAAGATAACAGAAAATTGAATTTTCGCCAAATAATGGCAAGTTTAGGGTGATTTAATCTCAATTTCATATCAATTCCATATGTTGATGACAAGAAATTCTCAATGCAATTTCAAGGTTTGGTCTGATGTGAGTTTAGTAGTAGTGCTAGTAGAGGGAAGAGGAGCATTAGAATTTAGAGCAGGGATTTTTTCGCCAATTTATTTGGCTTTCTGTGTTATTAGATTCAAAGTCAAGCATGTCAGCAAGTGCTGGATGAGACAGACAAGGAATACAAGAAGATGACCCAAAGGATTACCGAAAGTCGGGAAGCAATGATGGTATCCTTTGTTTATATCCTTCCTTCTAATTCTATGTCCTTAGTGCTAATTCATTGAGTGTGACAACCTACTACTTCTTTCTCAGGCTTCATATGCAGAGTTCATGGCAGATGCACAGACCACTGCTTCTCGTGGTATGTTTTCAGTTTAAATCTATCTGACCTGCTTGAAGTATAAGATTTCGTATAGGTCATGTGTTGGTACTAATGCTATACTGGAGTCTGGACTCAATATCTTTATTAATTAACATGCCATGTCGTTAAAACACTCGAGATGGAGTCCCTATTGAGGCTTTGACAAGTGATAATTGTGTCCCATATGTGGAAATCGGTTCTATTCCCATGTCAGCTCGGATAGCTTTTTGACCTGTTCAGTTTCACATTGTCATATATAATGTATTACTGTGGAGAAGAGAAAAAAGATTAAAAAAACCAATAAAAAGATTGGCAAATAAAAAATTGTCTCCTATGTATCATTAAACTGACTTGTAAGTAATAGCAGTATGCAACAATCTAATTTTGTTCAACAATTTATAAATCACGTCTGATTCATTCTGAGTACCAATTTATAAACTACTTCTGATTCATTCTACGTCTGATTCATATTTTCAGCTTGCAAAACATCCGTCACTGAGTTTTCACAGTCCTTTGAGAAAGCAATTGATGCTCTTCGGAGCCGCTACGGGATTTCAACAAATTAGCCATCAATTGTTCATGCCATATGATATCCACCGGAAATTTTAGGTGAGTGCTTAACTGTTTAATACCGTTTACTAGTGGTGGGATTATTCAGTAGTCTGGGTTGTTAAGCATCTCTGGTTACTCTGTCTCACATTATTTCATATGCTATACATAAGTTCACATTCATTACAACCTGCACTAAATTTGAAAATGAAAAAAAAAAGAAAGAAAGAAAGAAAGAAGAGCAAAGGTAGTTCATTAGTCGTAGAGTATTATGATTAAAATATTGGAGATAGATAACCTGGATACAATTTCAAAATCATTTGTAAGATGAATACAAAGAAAGAAAACTATAGAACCAGGTGACATGTTAATGTTTTGTTGGCAGATTCCCATGCTTTCATGAAATTGCCATCGCTAGAACAATGGTACACAGGACAGTTGTACTTTGCTAGGTTACTTTCTTTTTCGAGACATGTCCTTTTACTGTATCTAAAGGAGTTGGAATGCTCATGATTGTTCCATTTTGGAGGAACATTGATGGATCCAATTGTCTTCAGAGGTTAAGATTTCACTATATTCTTGTATAAATTGCGAGTTTAAGGGGTTGGATGGGTCAAGCATGGCCTCTAAAAACATGCGATAATTGGCCTTTTTAGTAGCATCTGTCCTAACTGTTATACGTACCCATTGCCAATAAGTATTTCTGTACCTTCGTTCGTGCAAATTTCTTGTTCTGGTACTAGTAAATGCTATTAAGCAGAATACTTTACTTGTATAACCCCAACCAAATTTGTATAAGTATGACAATCTTATATATGTCCAACTACGTTTGGGTAAGAAGTATGACAATTAACCCTCAGCCTTGATACCATCTCGACTGTGCCAGTTAAGACCCTTACTAGAACTGCATTGCATGCAATACATATATGAATTATAAACTGCAAAAACATATATATGAATTATGGTACTCAGCTCATCATCTCGCCAGAAGTCATA